GCAGGATATGAAATCTGATCTGATAAAAATATTTCCCTGCAACCCAGCGTAAGTATCTAATCACCCTGACATGGCCAGGGTATAAGACCTAACTCTGCCATCAGGGTTTCCCATTAGATAACTTTGGCTGCTCCCTATTCAACACAATGTCTATTTTCATTCTCATTCATGGATCTGATGACTAGAGAGCTTATGTGCTTAATTCAGCTGTGTAGATGTTACTCAGGTACAGAAAAAAAAACAAACAAATACAGACACAGAACAATGTTGTATAAACCTTCCTTTCCTAACAGATTTAGTTAAGATTCTGCATGCCTTGTTTCTCATTTTCAATATTACATGGACCTTTGGAAGCCTACAGCTTGTTTCTGCAGCCTTATTTCTAGTGTCACAACAAAAGTCACTGATGGATAAGGAAAAGAAAGCAATTAACAACATCAAATATTTTGGGAACTAATGATGTAGTTTGTTCTCACTATCTCCTAGCAAGGTATCTGGATATAGACTTTCTTCCCACTCCTCTCCCTGCTGCCCCAGATTTCTACGTAAGTGAGTTCAATAGATTGTAAATGTTGTAATACGAAAATTAATTTGTTACATGTACAGTTCAGATAATAGTGATGGGACATACCTCTCACGGTATGGGAAACAGTTATCTTGTATACCTGTAGCAAGCAAGCCTTTTTCCAGTATACATTATTTTTAATCTTTATATTGTGTAAGAGTTGAACCTTTTGTGGCCATGGGCCTGTCACATGAGATCATATCTTCCTTCTATAGGGAAGCCTGAAGAAATAACTTAAAACTATTAGAAATAAAACTACTAATTGTATTCCTAAGGCCTAGTAGGCAGCAAAGCATCGACACATCATTTCTTCCTTGAAATAAGTAAGAGTTGAATATTTTGAGAATGTTATGAAGCTGTTGTTTTCATACTACAAACAAAAGTAAGAGGATTTTTAAAGGATACCTTATCAAATGATAAATAAAAAAGGTAAAATTACTTGCTCTGCTGTTTTAAGTACATAAGATGTTAAAAGTTCAGGCACCTGTATTCAGAGATCAGTCTAGAGTCCTGTTTTGCAATCATAAAGTACGATACGATGACTAAACATCTTAAATATAGAACATAAAAATCCTATTCCAAATCTGAGAAATGCTAACAATAAAACACTTGTATGTAGGTGAAATATGCTTATTCTAACATTCAAGTATTTACCCTGAATTCCAATTCTGAATGACTGTATGTGTTAAAATGGCAGACCAGAATAAAGTCTCCAGAGACTGATTCAATCCAATTACTTTTATCCACCCATAATCCTGGGCATATTGATTATCCCTGTACCCTTTTATTGCTGTCCAATCAGTTGAGCTGAATCTTTAACAAACAACCAAACATTTTGGGTTGAAGTAAATGAGAGATGCCACTTTCAGCTTGCACATTTCAAACAAAGAGCCAGAACAGAAAGGTTCCCGTAGCTCTGGGGTATCCTGGCTCCCAGGTCAAACAAGCAAAGAGCACAGATTTTCCTAATGTATGTAGTTTTTGAACTCTTTGGATTCCCCAAGTTTCAATCAAAAGCCACAAGCAGACTTGTCCACTTCCACAATGGCAGGGCTGATTAGCTCTGCTTCCAATAAGGCTTGTGTTCCAGGTATTCAGTTATTTAGTTCTGTCAGATGTTTAAGCATTTGGACTAGATGTAATTTAGATTTCTCTAAAAATCAGATCTCATATATTGGACCAGAGGTCTGAGAGAAGAAAACACTTTGGATTTGGGCTGCAAATAAAAGTCTCTGGCCTTAAATGGAGAGTCAAAAATTTTGAGCAGTGAACCACTCTCAGTTAACTCAGATGAAAAAATGAGGGCCCATCTACGCATTCAGGTACTTCCAAGTCCTGAGAACCAGATTCCTTCTGAAAACAATAGTAGTCTGATTGTCAAAGTACATCCTACTGGATGGAATGCCCAAGTTCAGTAAAGCTGAAGATATTCAAACATGAATTTGAACCCACAATTTAGTAGACAGCACATTTTCCTAAAAGGGTGAAAACCTGAGATTTGATCCTCACTCAGAGTTTTCTGCATTTTTCTTTAAAAAGGTATAATTTAAATTACAATGAGAAAGTTTTTCACCAGGGAATTCTGTCTAAACTTTTTTTTTTTTTTTCTGATCAGATTACTTTAAATATTACAGTACGATGTGTCTTGTGTTCTTGCTCTTTCTGGCCATGAGGCCAGAGTAAACAGTAACAATTTCGTCAGGACGGGTGGAGAGTGCTTTCTTCACTAGCTCTCTCAATGAGGACCTGTGTCCTGTCAGAATAACCAAATTCAATTTGAGAGCCCCCACTGTACCAGAAAGTGAACTATGAGGGCTGCTCTGAAAGAAATGCCCCCTAGTTTGTTATTTTGTCCCATAATATCAGAGGCAGATGGTGGTGGTATGGCAGTAGAGGTTGCACCTTCCTCCCACTATACCTTTATATTTTGTTGTTGTGTGACAGATGGCAGCAGAGGGGCAGTCTGATAGAATAGTGTCTGACATGGCAGTGCGTATGAAGCAAAGATGTGTTACTGAACTCCTCCTTGTGGAAAAAATGGCATCCATTGACATTCATTGATGCTTTCCAAATATTTCTGGAGACTGAACAATGGACGTGAGCACACTGAGGTTGTGGGTGATGAGTTGCAGCAGTGGTGACAGCAACGGTGGGTCACCTCCACTGGTACAGATTTTTATCAGCATGGCATGCAGGCTCTTGTTCATTGCTGGTGAAAATACATAGCCAGTGGTGCTGACTTTGTGGAAAAATAGTATTCTGTAGCTAAGAATTTGTTCTATCGAATAGTGTTATTGTGCTCTTTGTATACCCATTGTAGTTTCCATGGAAACATGTAGGAGGCATTACTTTGGAGAGACCTACGTAATACTGGAGTTCTCTAAACCAGAGAGGCTTAAATGTTGAACCTCTTTGACCAGGGATCCATCAAATTGCAGAGGGCAAACTGCCAACGGTAAAGGAATGTCATGTTCTTTTAAGAAAGTGCCTATGTGTGCCATAAAAAGGCTAGGTTCTTTCAGTGTTTGTGGTCTCCAGGTAAAGAAGAGTTTGAGATCATTGTATACTCAGGAGTTGGAACTTGATGATCCTTGAGGTCCCTTCCAGCTCAGGCCATTCTGTGATTTTGGAATTACACAGACTAAGCCTCCATCTTGATTTTATTATAAACCTAAACTTTTTATTGGACCTAGCTCCTAATGCCTATTGAATTAATTTGTTATCTCAATAAACATTTAGCTCCTAAGTACCTTTGAAGATCCAGAACAGTATTACAGCCTTATGTGTCCCTCCTAAGTACCTCCATCCCATCACTAAAACTCATTTATGGATGCTGTCAAAAGTTGTCAGGGTATACAGCTGTCAGCGTCCTCATCAGCAACAGATCCCCCATGTTTGCTCACTCCCACTGAATGCATGTTTCCCACAGAGCTCCAAAGTTAGACCCCTCTGGAGAACAAGAATGCCAAAGTACTCCCTGTAGCAGAGTCTCCTAGCACCCTGAAACATATCACTAAGTTTTAAACCATTTATTTCAGAGCTAAACTAACAACCGAATGACTAAACTATCATGGATCTTCAGCCATATCTTGCAAACAAGCCTTTCACAATCAGCATGGTATTCCATACTGGCAGTACTGAGCTGAGGAAAGGGAAACAAATGTAGCTTAAAATACCTTTCCTTCTTAAATTCTAGGGGTCTAGTAACATCATGTCGCCTTGGTGCTTCTTTTAATATACTGCCTGTGATGGCATTTGTGGCCATCATCTGGAAAATGGCTGTACTGCAACGTAATCTATTCATGTCTTTTCTTCTTGGACAAACCTCGGGCATGACCCTACGTGACAGATCAGAACCGCTGTAGCAGTGGAGCCTCCAGCATGCCTGCTCTGCAGAATGCCTGCTGCACTAAGTCTCTGTGGGATCTTCTTAGGGCATACAATAGGCTCTTCTGCCCCACCAGCCCTGCGTTTTCTATGGTTATGATTAGCACTAGGTAACAAGCCATATGAAAAAGTAATAAGCCTAATTCAGACATGCTCAACACAGTCATAGCACTCCTTTGTAAAATTTATTTAATGCTTTTTAGATATGCTCAAGCAACACTGGTGGAAAAAAAAATGCAATTCAAAGCTTTTGCCTGGGATAACACTCAGTTCAATGAAATTCTCAATCATGTTACATAATCTTCATTTACAAATAAAACAAAAATGTTTGTGGAAGTGCATAAACAGCCTGTGGCTGTGGGCTTCGATCTTTTCAGCCACAGGGGTGGAAACAGCATGTCTGTTCATCTACACAGCTACATCCAAAAAGCTATATGATGCAACTGGAGTCTAACCTTACGTTTTTCAAACAGATGTATCAATGTAGCACTAAGTCAAAACAATGAAATAAAAATCTGGGACAAAACAATTAACCTATCATCAGATGTCATATTTCTTAGAGTGTTGACTAATTACACTAGCAATTATCAACTGCAGTATCAGTGCCAAAATACTGAGTTAGTTATTACACCTTTCCCTGTGTTTTTATGTACTACACAAAATCTTTAAAAAAAAAAAAAACTCTGAAAAATATGAAGCTTAACTGCAAAAGAAATTAATGCAACAAAATGGTGTTTTTAAGTGCTAAAGAGATATGAAGCATTGCCTCTTCATAGTGTGCTAAAGAGCAACAGCTGTATTTCATTTTAACTTGACGTGCTTCAGATCTCATATTCATATAGGTATTTAATGATCCAAACATGATGGTCCTATAGTATAATTACGTATATGAAGGCTCAACTTCATATGTAATCTTTTTAAAAAGATGCTTCAGTAGAAACCTTGCTTTGTTTCTAACAATGAATAATCTCTTTAACAGTGGAAATGCTTCGGAGGGGTTGGAAACTATTGACCATGGATCTTGAGCACGGTTGATAATCAAATAATGTTATTCCTTCTTGACAGACTCTTTGCTTCTTCTTCCTTCCCAGTAGAGCCAGTACAAGGAGAACAGGTAGAGTGCAAGACAAACCATCAAATCATAGTGGTAAAGTGTTGCAGCAAACACAAGAAAGAAGAAGAAACAAAAGATTTTGCAACCAATCTCTTTTAAACCTGGAGTCTCACTAGACAGCATCTGTTCTTCACTATTCTGGTCAGACATATCTGCAGAATGAGAAATGTTCTGTTTTTCATTCTGCGAGTCATCAAGCCAATTTAGTGTTTTCCCCTCAGTTATTAAATGGTGAGAATCAGAGCCTCTCCCAGCAACTTCTTTGGTAGCCTTGCTAATTGAAATTTCTGGCCTCAATGACTTCTCTTGCTTGAACTCTGCTTGATGGAAACATTGACCTATATTGCTTCCTCTATCTTCTCTAGCAACGGTTGTGTCTGAAGTGGAAGGTACTTCTTTTCTTTCAGCTTCAGGAAAGAGGCATTTATTAATATGTTTCATTTCATTTGGGAGACTTAAATCATATCCTGACTCGGCAACAACCTTTTCAATGACTTTGAATTCAGAGTGAATATATGGATGGTCCATGTCTGCTGTGGAAGACGACAGTGGAGGGCTTTTATAGTGGTAACTGGGCATAGTGTTTGTACCAGAAGTTGGTGTTTTTGTTTGAGTTTTGGCATGCAAATAGGAAGGTGTTCCAAGGTAGCTCTCTTCGCTATAGAGCTCTGCCAATTCTTCACTGTAGCGATGCTTCTGGGCACTTTGGGAATATTTAGATACTTCTTCTGAATGTAAGCCTTGCCCCAAGCCTTCTTTCTTTTCTGCAGAAGAAGCTTTCACAGCTCCTTCTGCAGGCAGAATATCTCCAATGTCTGGTTTTGCTTTGGCACATTTTTCCCTGCTATTGCATACAGACATCGTTTCTCCTTGCAGTGTTTCATGTACACGTGCATTATAAATATCTAAAACTGATTCCTTTTCAAATTCGGTGTCATATAATACACCCACTGTGTTGAGTTGACAAAGAGCATAATGTGAACCATCATTTCTCCCTTCATGTGTATCAAACGCTGTTTCCTTTTCCTCTGTGGGCCTGTCACTTAGTGCAATCTCTTGAGGTAGCTTAGCAATTACTGCTTTTTCACTGGCAGACATTTTTTCCAGAGCACTTTCTGATGTTGTTTTAATTATATAAGCTGTACCTGCTTCTGCTTTCCCTTTAATACTGTGCTCGGAGACAGGAGACTTTTCACAGCTTTCTGCCTCTTGGCAAGTAAATAACTCTTGGGTACATGAGCTCTGAGCCCCTGCATCACTCCCTGCTGCCCACCGCACCCCACTATCTGCTCGCTTCCATGCCTGTCCAGTGGCGTTTTCTTCACTTTCTGTCCCCGTCAGTCCTCCTTTATTTCCATTCTCTGTCTTTCCTCTGTCTTTTAACCTTGTGAATCCTCTGTGTTCCTGAGCATCTTCAGCTCTGCTTTCATTCTCTGGCAAGTAAGCCCCAGGTCCTGCTTGTGCAGGCCTGGCTCTGTACTTGCTGTCTTCATCTGGCAGGAACGATGCGCTGAAGGCATGTTTTCTGTGAAACTTGAAAGGCTCGGGTGCTTCTTCCTCTCCAATTAGTGCTAAATCTGCTATTTCAATGACTCTTTTCTCCTTCTCTGTATCAGTGTTATAATTCTTTTCTGACAATTCACAAACTCCTTTTTTGTGTGTACATTGGCTTTTTGTGGAATCCATTGAGACATCAGTGTATGCAAAAGTGTCGGTATGTAAATCTCCTTTTAAATGTGCCTGAACTTTGCTTTCAATCATCTCAATTTTTCCTTCGTTTTTGTCAGCAGCTGATGACAATGAATCCAGAGTTTGGTGAGATATTTTTGGCACTTGGTGCTCTGGAGCTGGATTAGCATTGCCATCCAGCGTTCCTGTTATGCATGCTTTTAATTGCAAGGATTCATCATGCACTGAAGAAATGGCTGCTGGTCTCATTTCACAGGCCTCTTTCGAGGTATCATCCTCACTGATGAATAACCTCTCCATCATCTTACTTCCTGAGGCACTATCTGCTTCACCTCTTGTAATATCTTTGTGGCTCTCTCCTTGTCGGCTTGAGACAGTAGCCGCAGTATTGATAGCCTCATTCTGCTTTGTTCCAGGGAAGTATTTTGCCGATGAAAAGGTTTCACTGATACCAGTAGAATCCCAAGACTGTTTGCTGCTGCTTGCTGAGCCAGCAGAGTCTTCCTTTTCTGATGGGTGACTATTATAACCTCCTATGGAATACTTAGCATTGCCTTTTAATTCTTCTCCTATCACTTGTGAAGTATTTTCAGATAAGGAACTGATAGGCACTGGGTGCCTCAGCAAGTCACTGCTTCTTTCTACATGGGTTAGATTTTTCTCCAGTCTTACAGTTTCACTTGGAAAATTAACTGGTTCTGTTGTGTCTAAATTCCTTTCATCTCTGGAAGAGGTACCTTTAGCTCCTGTGAAGTGCTGATTTAGCTGAAACAATATAATAGAAAAGAATGATCAAAAAAGGCTTTATAAAAAATGTGCCAGGCAGGATTTTGTCATGGAAAGTTTTGTTTTCGGTAACAAAGCTTTTATGGAAACCTGTTCCCAACCATTTGCAAAATTTGCATTGTATGTATTTTTTAACATAGGTAATGAGCTTTATGGTGGCGTTAAAAGGAGCAGGAAATAAAATAGAATTCAGAACCCTCTCTCTTTATTCATGAGTTCAGTAAGCTGCTAGTGCATTTTATACAAATTAAATCTGAAGAGAATATTCCCTTAAAGGGAGGCTAATTCATTCTCTGCACATTCGGTTCTAGGTTTGGAGAGAGAGAGGCATTGGGGAGGGGGAGGATTGGCACTTAAATGAGGGCAGTGATACAGTACATCAAAGCCTGGTAATGTACAGCATTGTCCAGTAAAACAAAGACACATTTCACACTGACAAATACTGTAAGGATTATCTTTGCTTCATTTCTCCCAGGGACCATTTTACAGGCTTCAAACCAGACTGATTTTAGACAATCTAGTAAGACATGAGTTGGAAATGAGATTAGTAAAGTAAAAGGCCAGAAACTAATCACTCTCCCCCCTAGCTCCCATATATCATATTGTATTATTCAGCTATGGCTGCTTGTCATTGCACTCTCTTTTCACTTTAGCACAGTCACACTGATAGCACTAGCTGATCAATTAGAGGCTAGCTTCTTGGGCACCCCTTTATGCATTTGCACTTGCTGTAGATACCCCCGTTACAGTTTCTCTTATTAATATGTTTTCTGCAAAGCCTCTGCAAACTATTAATAGTAAAACGTCACTCAAAGAAAAGTGAGGGAGCTAATGTCTCTGCAAATTCTGTTTTAATGACCCTCTGCCAACCCAGTGCTCAAGTGTATTTGAGTTCTTCGGTGATGCCAACTGTCAGGATTTAACAGTGAGATGCCTGTGTTTTTTTCCCCTCCTCATAACTGACATTTGCATGATCTCAATAATTATATGCAAATCTTACGATTTCCCCTTCTTCTCACATAAGGCTCATGTTACTTGTCAACTGCACAGCTGTCTTGTGAGCCAATGCCTGTGCGTTTCAAAGATTTGGTTGTATTTCCATCTATTGTAAGCCTTCATTGTTTAATTCATTAAAGAGCGCATAGTGCAAATTAACATCTAAATTATAGCTCCCCCTTCATTTATTGTACAGACAATCCTGGCAATTGATAAACAAACGGTTATATTTGATCCTGCTTTTTGTAACAGAGTGGACTGAGAACAACAAGGGATTTGGAGGTCCTCCTTTTTTATGTTTCATCATGAAAGAAAAAAAAAAGAGAGAGACAGGTTGACTTCCAGGCAGTGAAATATCCCACAATAGGCAACAATTTTGAACTTTTTTGGAGAAAGGGCAAGAAAAAAATATATTCAAATAAGAGGAATTTATTCTCTCTCTATTAATAAGGAAAAAAAAAAATGGTTCTCATCTTCCTCTCCTGATCCAGCACTCACATTTTCACAGGTGATAGCTGTTATAATCTATGATTACAAATCTATGCACCCAAATGATTGTGAGCTTAGAACAGACACGGAGAATAATAAATTGCTGTATGTGTCTCATTTATTGCTATTTTTTCTTTCATACTGAAAAATGTAAGCCAAACCACACACATGCACACACACAAACCCAAATAGACTGAATGTTCACTCAGCGTAAAATTTGTTATAACAAATTTTGTACCAAATGCTGATATAGAAAGATGTGCTATATAAATATACGTATTTTGTTCATATAGCACGTTACATAGTTATGCTTTGAAAACAACTAAAAGCAAACAGTAGCATAAATAAAAGAATTATACAAAATATAAAGCATTTCTACAAGAATGTACCTATCCCAGAAACTAGGATGACAGATCTTTGAAATATTAGCCTTCTAATTCCTTCAAACCGTCACTTAGAGCCTCTGGTAAAGAGGTAAAAGGGAGAAGTCATTAATTTAAGACCAGAAAAAGTTGATGCACTATGCTGAAATCAAAGCACCTTCTATTGTCGAATCAGTTAGAAATTCAATGAAAGTACAGACCAAGGCTTTACATTTGTAAATTAGTACATCAGTCAGCTCTGTTAAAAGGGGGCATTTCACCAGCTTTGAAGCGTAAATGGATTCATATCATTTAATACTGTAGATATAATTGTATAACACTTACCAGCAACTCTAATTCTTTTTCATCATCTTCGTGATCACCCTGGTTGTATTCTGCATTTTTATCTTTTATATTTTCATCAGCTGGTGCATTCTCTTTGTCTTCTGCTTGTGAACAAACAATCTCTGGGATGTTTGCATCTGAAGAGTTAACAAAAACACGCTTGAATAATTTCTATGGGATTATTTGTTACACTTCTTTAATTAACGTGAACGCTAAGAAAGAACTAATTAAAGCAGGTGTAGTACCTGAAGTCCTTGAATTATTCCATATGTCACCATCTGATGTTTCCAATATTTCTTCTTTGCTGTTAAACAAAAAGAAACTTTCTGTATTATTCTGCAGAAAAATATTGTTCTAATTGCTCTTAGACTCAGCTAGAAAGACAGCTGGTTAATTACACAAAATTTTGAATGCTCTTTGAAAGTCTGAAGATAACAAGCTTATCAAAAGTAGTTTCTTCGATTGACCTGATATTAACTTTTGGACAAAGAAAGAATTGGCCAAGAAAATGAAAATGTGCTGACCTTCAAATTACATTACAAAGCTGATGGGTTTTCCCAGGCCTTTTCTGAGAAAGTAGCACAAAGGTAATTAGATGGATTATTGACAGGCAAGAGTAACTTTGGGGTCAGACAACAATCTGCAAAGATGCATGTTCACAGGAGACTGGAACTCTCACTTGTTTATATTTTTCAAATATTTGTGTACAGAGCTTGCTGGAAAAAGACATATTTGTAACGTGAAACAAATCAAAAGATTATCTCTGTGTGCATACAGTATAGATCCTGTTGCTAAGCTGTGGATGGCTGATAGGAATGAATACTGCTTCCTTGAAGCCAATGCACTTTTTGTTTGTGCTGTTGTGAAAACAAAGGCCAGGTCCAACGCAACAAACACCTACAGAGAGATGCTGAGCACCTGCTGTCCTCATCAGTACCAATGCAAAATGATAGCAGTTGCAATTGTCTATTCACATGGGTTGCAACATTTAGTAAAAAGGAGAAAAAATGTAAAAAGGATGTGACATATAAAATGTGAATTAATATGTCACTCCCAATGCTTTCACTATGAGCTGGATTTTTTTTTTCTGTAGCTTTTTAATTTATGCATTTTTCAGCCAGCTGTCCACCTGTATTACTGAAAGTTAGTTTCTAATTTTCAAATATTAATCTTTTCCCCCTTCTGTATTATTCTAGGGTGGGTTTTTTTCCATTCAAATTGATATAACATTAACTCTGCCACTTAAAATGCTTAATTCAGAAGGAGGATGCTAAATTTATACTTCATTAAAAGGTACTACACACTGACTGTCACCAACTTTTAAGAATCCAGCCTTTCTAGGGATTGCCAGACAAAAGCAGACAGAAGATCATTCCAATCTAGCATCTGATCTCTGACCCTGGCCACCATCAGGTACTTCAGGGGGAAATGTAAAGTTCTTGTAGGAAAAGATATGGGGTAATCTGAATCGCCCTATTAAATTTTTTTCTTGGGCTTTGTTAGACATTTGTCCTTAAGGCATCAGATTTAACCCTCTTTCAGTGGTTCTTTTTTTCCCATTAATCACAATAATGCTGAATATTCTTGTTATCCATATGAATGTCACATCACTTTTGAGTTCTGTTACATGTATAGCCTCCACACATTTCTCCCTCTCCTACTCACACCAAGTTGTACTTTCCTCTGCCAACAGCTGCTGTAATCAGAATAATCTGCATTTCATCCTGCAGAGGCTGACAGAGAAAGACCTTTATTTTCAGATCTGTGCATTTTTTAAGGTAAAACATCACTGATTATTATTGATTCATCATTATATTTGTACTGTTACTGTTATATATTAATTTTACTCTTAATGTTATATGAAGAACCCTGTTTTGTTCCATCACTTTGCAACTTTTTCAGCCACCTGTGTCCATAAACCTAGCCATATGGAGTAGGTTGGGGCTTAATCATGAAACTGATAGATACAAAAGTCTAGTTGCTAACGGGGTATCTGCAAAAGCCTTAAGTTCGGAACCAAAACTGTGTAACATGTGAGATGAGTCAAAAATAATGATCTCAAAACCACATGGGCTGAGCAGAAGGTCTCCTACTTTTAACCAGTGGGGGAAAAATATCTCAAAGCCTTCATTTGAATGTAGATTCAATAGGCTGCAGATTCAGGGCTACCTGCAGCTTCCAGCTATATGGATATAACTCTCAGGAAGCAGAGGTGGCATCTTTTGCTGCTAGACAGAGTCCTCACCTGCTCCTTAAAGAAATGGAGTGTGACCCACTCTAGTCCTTCAAGAAGCACTCCCAGAAAAAAGGGATGCCTGTATATGAAGTAATAGTCTACTATCAATGGAGCTTGCATACAAAATGCAGTGGCACACTCAACTTCGATCACAGCCCCAGGAGATTAAAAAATACACTGCATACACATCCAAAAACTACCCAAGTGACTGCTGCTCTTGAAGTTGGATGTACTAGCATGACTGTTTAGCTTATTCTTCATTTCTAGAAGAAAAAAAAGGAACTGGATTCTGTCCCCAGTTGCACATGCTTCTTATCCAGTGATTATTTTTGTTTTTGACAAACACCTTTTTGGTGTAAAATACAGATGCTATTGAATAAGATTATTAAGAAGGAGAACCTCTTTCTGGATGTATATAGCTGCTTTGAGGTGGATGCCACAATGTGTCTTAGCTTCTGAGTCTTACTTTCCTAAGCACCTGTGCTCAGGCAGTTGTGTACATCACCCCTGACATCACTGATGAGAGACTAACGCTTCTGAAGAGAAATTTGCTTCCTCTGTTTTGGACATCGCCAGTGAGATGGAGAGAGATATCCTTTGAAGGAGCTTCTCTCCCTCTGGAGGAACTGACCATAAAAGAAATCTACAGTGACTGCCTTAGGCTGAAATCAAAAGTTTTAGATAACTAAAATAAGCTGAACTGAATCCCACAATGTGACTCCAAATCCAAACTGGGAAGTAGCTAACGAGTTTTAGCAGCTGGGACTGCACCACATTCTATGTGACCTGAGCACCTCAGTTTTACTTGGCTGTGTTTGTCCCTTGTTCCAGTATCACCTAAAACCCTGGACCACAGGTTTCTTTTCACAGCTGTAACAGATAATAAATATCAATGATAATATAACCCCACAGCATGAATCCACAGCAAAAGAAAATAGTGCACCATTTCAAGGTTTCTAACATGACTTGTTTCTTGTTGCACTGAATTTTGTAGAGATTGTTGCTTTGTAACCCGTAATTTGTGCAGCTCTGTCCTGCAAATGCTTGGCTGCAGGGAAATGCAGTGCAACAACTATTTTCCTTATTTTACTTCTACAACAGAAATATCTGTCCTCATATAATTATTCTAGTGGGAAATCTGAAATTAACCTAAATTGAAGATATTAATACTGCAGTCTTTGAGGATCACAGGACGCATAAAACAATAGTAATTTAACAACACTATTTTAATCCAAGAAATGTTATGAAGGTGCTGAATCCATAGTTGATATAACTTAAGAAAAATCTCAAAGGTATATGTAGATGTTAAAGAGTGAAATGTCTCCCCAAAGCCTATAAATACTGGCCATTTCAACAAACAGTGATAAATAGATAGGAAAAAAATCTCTACTATTAAAACATTTAATCAGTTTTTAACACTGCTTTTCAAGAGTATCCTTTCTTCTTTGTTCTCTATGGAAGCTGCTTGTCTAGTTAGTTAAGCAAACTGTTAGAATAATTCAGCTTTTGTGTTTTAAATTAAGTAACTCACTGGTTTTCAGGGATCTAAATGTACCTACACTGTGTATTGAGAGGCACAAAATTTTTAATTTTAGTCAGTTTTAAAATGTTTATTTTTACTTTTAAGTGGAACTAGATATTCCAACAAAAATGCAAGTTAGAAAAATTCCTGCTGTCAGCCAGTGCCTTTTGCCTCCAAAATAAGTACCTGCATACCTGTAGAAGCTCAGTTGTTTTTTTTTTCCTTCGTATGAGCAGTTCCTCAGAAACTTAAGAATTTCTATCAGCTTAAAAAAAAAATTTTGCTTATATGATTCACTCTGGATGGAACTACCATTCATTTGGAATTTGGACTGAGTGATAATAAGAAGTAGGAATGCAAATAGGCTATGGGTATAATTTTGCCCTTAGACAGAGTACAAAGGCAAAGCTCAGGCACTAGTTAGTAGGACTGAGAGGACTGGAGAGTTGATGGACATTATGGAAAGGATTTCAACAGTCTCAAAGTTATGTAAAATTTTAATCCCAGAGAAAAATGCTAATTTGAATCTTAAGGTGATCACCTAAAGATATGAAGAGTAAGTAGAGAACATATGAGTGATGTAAAAAAAAAAAAAAATAAATAAAAATTAAAAAAAGCATTGTTTTGTCTTTAGAAGTTATTGGGATAAAGTAATATATGGCAAGGATGTTGAATTAACTTTTTTTAGTTAAACAGGATTTTTAGAGGAGAGAGGTTTGACCAAGATTTCAGATAAGTTATGTATAATTCCACAATCAAAAGACTTCTCTGAAGCTTTTCTACCCCAGTGCTGGCAATGGGACAGAGTCTCATTTAGAGGAACAGTATGAGCAAGGTATAACTGATGGGAAAATAGATTAAGAAAATGGTATTATTTAATTCAGTCTGGGAGAAGAACTTGTTTAGATATGCTCCAGTTAAGAGAATCAGATGATCTCCAACTCAAAATAGTGACAGACCCAAGAGAGGAAATAACACATAGTTGAAATTCTTTTCTATTCAAATCTATCATTTTGGTCCAGATACTTTTGTAACAACATCAGGAGACAAGGAAAAAGATTTAGGAAAATTAAAAGTAGTGCCTGGCAACTTTGGACCCAGGTGTCTTCAAAAAGTCTTCACAGTAGACAAAGCTTAAAAGAGAGAATAAATACAGATAAAGGAAAATGACATAGAAATGCCAGACTCACATGATAATATCTATCTTTGTTAAGATTGCTGTATTTCCCCTGTCTAAAAATCAGTTATCTGATCTATCTGGACTTCATTAAAGCATTTGTTATGCAGCCACGTGGGAAATTTATTAATTAAACTGGAGAGGAGGGAGATCAGAGCAGGAGCTCAGAGGTGGGAAAGGAGCTCGGTGCCAAGCGGGGCCTCACAAGACTGGCTGCGCCGAGCTGGCAGACGTCGCCCTGGAATTCGAGAGGACCAGCCGTGTGATCGCTCAGTCATTTTATTACAGACCACAGCACAAAAAGTCAAAGTTAAATTAAATCTGTGGCAGATAGGAAGTTGGGAGACATCACCATCACAGAGGAGGATT